TTTTTTGCCCCACTGTATATATATATATATATATGTATATGTGTGTGTGTGGGGTGTGATAGTGTGTATATATGTATATATATATATATATATATATATGCACACACACACAACTGAATTATATATATATAATTCAGTTGTATTTGTATTGCCCAGTATCTCATAAAGGTTTAGGTTGCTTCACAGGCATAAAAAACATTTTAAGAAACAGGTGAATAGTCCAACAGGCCAAAATCATATTCTCAGTGGTATTCGTATTATTATGCACAACTTGACAACAGTTCCAGGTTAAAAGAAGTTGGGTGTTTGGTACAGGATTAGTTTCCATAAAAATAATTTAATTCCATTTTATTTGTATTACGCCAAATTACAGCAACAGTCGCCTTACAATACCGTAAGTCGACCCTACAATAGTACAGAGAAACGTTCAACAATCAGATGATGCCCTATAAGCAATCATCATATGATTGTTGGGTTATTCTCTGTATGTATTATTGGAGGGTCTACCTGACAATATAAAGGGCCATGAGGCCATGTTGTTGTGATTTGGCACTGTATAAATACAACTGAATTAAATTGAAGCAATCACTTGGCAATAGCATGAAGGAAAAACTCCCTTTTAACAGGAAGACACCTTCAGCAGACCCAGGCTCAGGAAGGTCCAGCCATCTGCTCCATCCAGTATTAATAATGCTGTTATTAAAGAGAATGTGTAATGAATGTTAGTATTAATGCTCTAGAGCAGTTTAATAGGAGACTGAACTTTGAAACATCTACCAGATAAGGCATGAATCCACCTCTACAGTGTTTGCTCTTAATGTGGTGACTCTTGTCTTTGTAGGATTTATAAGGACCACACAGCAGAGCTCAGACTGTGGCCGCACTTTGATTGGACCCTGACCTTGTATTTGCCCTTGCAGATGGCTTCAAACAGACGCTCCTTGGTGCCATAAAAAGGGAGACACCCCGAGAGGAGGATGAAGAGGATAACGCCACAGCCCCACACGTCCACGGGTTTACCATACGGCTCTCTCTTCACCACCTCTGGGGCCATAAAGTGGGGAGTTCCTACGCGACCTGAAGTTACAAACAGAGCGTGCAAGTCAGGTAACAGTTCCAAAATGATAACATTTTGACAATAAAACACGCACAGCGAGACTTCCTTGTTGGTTCCCCAATCATTTCGATTCTTCTGTTTGCTGAAATTGAAAAGGAAGTAGTTCAAGTTTTATTTCCTTTGTTTTTCCCTAATTACCAACTACCAGAAAGTAATGTCTCACAATCAACTGAAAAGAGGAAATGATACTTTACTTTGGGTGACTTCCTATTTTGATGCAAAGTAGGAAGCGCACGGTTTTCATCCAGGTTTAAAACTAAGACATAGTTTCTAATGTGCAGCGTTCTTACATTTCTTACAAGTTCTCAGTAGCTGATACTGTCTACTACTTTATCTGTCCTTTATTAGAGTGAAACTAAAATTATGATGTTATCCCAAGTTAGTTGCAGCAATTTAAATGCTGCAAAACTGTTTAATTACTTTGGTTTCAACAGTCAAACAGGCAGTTAACCAGCTGAGCAGTGCATTTCTCTCTAAGTAAAGACTTTTAATTTTAAATTAATTAATTTAAAAGGTTTTAAGAAATTCTACAACTGTTAATCTGCATTTGACAGATGCTGAACAAAATCTGACTCATGAAACGGGTACTTCATTTGTACGGGACATCAGTTACTGTGCACGGCAGTTACTACTGACTCAGAAATAACTGAAATAACCAGCACAAAAATCAATGTCTGGTCAGAATTAGCAACAGCACCAACACACTGATTCCAAATCTGCAAGATGTGGTTGCGATCAGCAGTCTATAAAGGAAGTTGCCAGTGTACCTCCTGACAAAGGAAGCCTCCCTCTGCCATGAACACTCCCACACAGAGACTCAAAGTTTGAGCTTTACTCAGACTTGATTTTCTTTTTCTAGCTGAGGTATGGTACACAATGTTTCCACCAAGTTGATACCTTAAGCGTAGTGTGTACAGATTGACGAATTCTTAAAAAGCAGAAATTATTAAATTTCCATGCGACAGCTCTCCATTTAAAAGTCAAGTCGGCTGTCAGTTGCTGGCATCATTGAACAAACACTGATACCATCTTAACACAGTGTCATGAGTGTTAAACTGTATTAAGTGCTCTTGACAGAAAGTGGAATTCTGCACCTCCTCCTGTGTTTTAAGGCTTTAGGGCTGTGACCGGGTACACTTTCAGGTTGGATCAGGTGAGGCAGCCTAAAAAGAAAGGTTGCTTTTAAGCAAACAAAAAAATGCATCCTATGTCTTTTCACAAAAGCCTTTAACTTGAAATTTAGAGGAAAATATCACAAAGTCAAGAAAAGATGTGAAGGAAAGGACTTTCAACTCCTGACTGAAATTACCCAGGTTGCCTGAAAGCACGATGTGCTGAAAGTATGATCTCCTAAAGATGCACCACAGAAATCCATGTGTTCTCAATGTGTTGTCTTTTGCAAGCTATTTAGCTCCCCCATTACTCATTTAGCATTCAGTCATTTCAATTCATTCATTACAACTTAAAAATGTCATTATTATATTAACAAATATTACCCACTCTGCAGTCCCCTCATATTTTTGTGCTTTAACTAGCATCATTAAGATGAAAATGCTTTAAATCTCGCCTTTATTAAAGCATTTAGGATCTCTGAAGTGAAATTAATTCTAAATAACACCAAAATGAGGAGAAAACTATATAAATTGAGTTATAATCACTATAATCATTAATTCGCTCTGATAAACCCACCTTACAAAGTGTTTCACACAGGACACAAATCATCAGTGGGTTTAACAGCTGTTGAGATTTTAAAAAGTATCCACATATTAGCGATGCATAAGAGTAACACAGTAATACAGAATTAACTTGCCAACATCGCCTTTCCTTATATAAAGAACGCTCCAGAGTATCCTCTGCTCAAGAACATAAAGGAGGCGCCAAAATATCTTGTATCTTATATTACAGCATCTTGGTCATTTCACTTTTGCTCACTGACTATTTCACTGCAACCAAAGTCTTCTTTACCAGTGAGATGTGGTAGCTTAATGACTTTCACCCAGGGGAGTGCACTGTCTCTGTGAATGGTCATTGGGGCTCAGGACAGGTTTCTGCCTGTTGTAGTTTTAAGTTGTTCATTTATGAACTGGAATCCATGAATAAACATTTCAAATGGTTTCCAGCTTGTAATTGTTTCCAGTCAGCCAAATTGGAAGCAAAAATATGTCCAGTAAACTTTTGGCAGATCCTATTAATGATGTACTGATGAATGTACACGCTCAGTTATCATGAATATCATATTCTATAATTTCAAGTAAAGTATTTATATATAATATGCTGGGAAAGTCACTCTAAATTATATCGATATGTGTCATAACTATGTGTTTTTCTCAGTCATAAACCCTGTGTCCTTTATGTCACAAGTGTTTAAATGGTGTCTTCAACAATAAGTTCAATCATGGAGCAGAGACGTGTTCTGTCTCTTTGATCCCATCTTAGTGGAACTTCTCCCACAAGTCAGAAAAAATAAAAATCTCCCTAAACAAATGGTGACAAGGCATGCAGGGAGAATCCCGCCGTATTGTGGTGTTTACTGTACCTCCTGCCACCAGTCCTGACTCTCCGAGCTGGATCGCCACTCCGAACCCGCCCAGCTTCACTGGAGCCGAGTTCTCTTTAGAGGCCAGCAACACACAGTGAGGCTGGGAATGAGAGAATGGAGAAGGAAACAGAGATTTTAGCAAATTAAAGAGTGAAATTCTCCTATAAATAACAGACATTACACGAGCCAGACACACCCCAAACCACCACCCACCACGGCCACACACAAATAACTGAGAGTGTGGGAAGATCAGAGTAGGACGTTTGCTGTAGTCTTTATACGACTCCAGTTATTTTAAATACAACGTTGACTTTTGCTTTTTTGATCATGTTGTCGTCACACGCCATAAAAACAAAGATCGGTATTTTCTTCCCAAAGGATCAAGTAATGCAACCACAACATTTCAGTCGAGCAGTTTTGCACATGGCAACACCTGTTTAGTTTCACATTTCTTTTCATTGTGGTCATCTGCAGCATCCTTTCTATGATATAGTGTTACTTTGTGGTTTAATGTGGACTGATACGGATCTGAAAAACAGCTGACAGAAACAGTTTTACCGTGCTATAGCTGTTGAACGGAGTATTAAAATTTCTGCTTTTGCTCAGACCTTTCTAAATTCTTTCTAAAATTCTTATGTGAGGACATTAAATACCATTTTGAAAAAAAAGGGGGGGGGGGGGGGGGGATTACCACAGTTGAACACACTCTGCAGATTCCTCCAATAGCCAGAGTCCAAGGTGGAAAGCATACTGTACACAAGTGAAGCATGCCCTGTGAGTATTTCCCCTCATGTGCATAATCAGAAGGCCTCTCTCTCTCTCTCTCTCTCTCTCTGCTTCTGTATGGTGCTCGGAAGAAAAGAGGGGGGCTGACCACAGTATGAAATTTCCTCTGTGCAACATTCTGCACTTCAGCATTTCTGACTGCACAGCTGTGGACAGGCGCTTATCTTGAAAGTGAGATAGGACAGTTAGGGAAGCCAAAAAGAAAAAAAAGAAAAAACTGAAGCGGAGTCTACACAGTACTATTCTGTGACGATGATAGTATTTGCTCGACGCGAGTTGGACTACAGGAGAAAATCGAACATGAGATGACACAAGGAACTTTTTCCGTTTTTTCAGAGCGGCAAATTTGGATTTTTCCTGCATGTTCAACTTACAGGGATATCCTGGAGTACCTCAGAGGAAGACAAAAAGACTAAGTGTGTATGTGTGTGAGGTTGGAAGTGATCCTCACCGTTCACACAGCCCTTTACACAAAGAAAGGAACGCATACTTCTTTGTTAATGAACTCCAATAACTAGGTGAGTGTTTTGAAAAGTTCCTTGTTTTTTTTTTTACACTGTGTGCAACACAATCGCGCTGAGCTGTGAGGAGAGTAAGCGGTTTCCTTTTACTGCTATTTCATTTACTGATCTTTTGATATACTTCTCTTGAAGTAAACTGACTGAGCACATAGACATCATTTTAAAACTGCTTGGCTGCGGTAATGTGCAAAAGATACCAAAGAAATCCTGAACAGGTTATTCACATGTTTCTAGGGCTTTCCAGTTCCTGAGGTTATGATGGTTAGATTGTGTTTTGCAGGGCAGATTAATGCTCACACCCACAAACCTGTACGTATGACAGCCCTTTCCCAAAATGCAAATTATTCCATGTGTGCCCCTCATCTGTTTGCAGGACTGTCAATCCCTTGAAAAAAGACACCATGGCAAAAAACTTCTCGTGTAAGAACCAAACAACAAACGTAACCCTTGACCCGTGTGGAGATGACGACACACTGCAGGTCCCGCTGGCAGTGAGCTACTCTATAATCTTCATCCTGGGTCTAGTCGGGAACCTGGTGGCTCTGTGGGTTTTTTTCTGCGTCCACTCCAAGAAGAACTCTGTTCGAGTGTTTCTCATTAACATTGCATTTGCAGACCTGCTGCTGGTGGTCTGTCTGCCATTCAGGATACTCTATCACAGCCAAGGTGACAAATGGAATCTGGATCCCACCCTGTGTAAAGTAGTGGGACACCTCTTCTACATGAACATGTACATTAGCATCACTCTGTTAGGGCTGATCAGTGTGGATCGCTACTTTAAGATCCACCAAAGTGTAGGAATGCAGCGCAAACTCTGCTCCACAAAGCTCAGCTTCGCCCTGTGTGCCATCGTCTGGATTGTGCCCGCTTGTATCATTTCAGTGATGGTGTTATCAAAGAATGACTCTCCTCATGTGGGCAGGTTGGTAAAACCTTTAAATCTTTTTTTTTTTTTTTACCTTACTGTTAAAGTCAAAGATCTGAAGCGGTCAACTTGTGTGACAAAATGTATTTCCTGTGTCCAGGTGTTTCCACTACAAGAAGCTGGATGAGACAAAGTGGAAGGCTTACATCAACATGTGTATGGTGGTTCTTTTTTGGTTAGTCTTCATCTCTCTCATGATGTCCTACGGGAAGATCGCACTCAAGCTGCTGAGGACATCACAAGCAAATCCAGATCTGCCCAACTCCACTCGCTACACTCGAACCGCCAAGAAGTCCTTCTTCATCCTCTTTCTCTTCTGCATCTGTTTTGTGCCCTATCACGTGGTCAGAGTGTTTTACATAAAAACGCAGATCACAGACACTTCGTGTTTCTGGATGTGTGTCGCTGACAAAACCAACGAGGTGGCTCTGCTGTTTTCTGCCCTCAATAGCTGCCTGGACCCTGTCATGTACTTCCTGTTATCCTCTTCAGTGAGGAAGGAGGTGCTGCGCTTGGTGAACAACGTGATCTGCTTAAGAGATGTTACAGGCATCAGTGGGAGCAGCTCCACTGCTGAGATGGATAGTAGAAATGGGAGGACTGACAGAGAACACCCAAACACCAGTCTAATTAGTAATACAAAGATAGAAAGTGGTTTATAAATCCCCACACAGCAGAGCGATAACTCTACTAACGTAAACAACATGTAAATATGACAGAAGCCAGCAGAAGAAGAGGAGCGTGACAGGGCAGCTGCTGCTCTTGCCTGTGCGCCTTTACTTGGTGCTTACCTAAGAAAAACCTTTGAACTAAGGCTTATTTTGAAAAGGTTTAGGACGACTTCACATTATTTTATGCAGAGGAAAAGTACTGGCTCTGTTACACTGTAGGGCCTATGATTAGTCCTGTGATTAAACATTTGTGTCATGATGGGAGTGGGCTCTTTCCACTGAACCTCAATATATAAGACTTGGAACGACAGAGGAATATCTATCTTCACCAGAAACTTGGACACGCAGTGACAAGGAACACTGAAGCTGGTTGTCCCGCAAGTTACTGTGGGTTTTGTTTTCTGTACCAGTGTGGATCTTTACTTCTGTAACTGGGTTTGTAGATGTATTATCTTTGATGGTAAAGAATCCCCCAAAATTCCTGAGACCCACCTCTGGAAACTTTTTTCATGTAAATCCGTCCTTAATGTTACGAGTAATCCTCCAAATTAAAAAATATGTCCTTTCTTATTATAGAGAAACTTGAATGTACTTGTGTGGCATGAGAAATTTTGAGTTTTCATCATCAGCATCGGTTTTTGCATAAGCTGGTGTTTTCATACTACACCGCTCGAGTGAAACTGTGAACTTTATCGGGGACTGTGCAGTTCCTTTCACGCCCATATGCTGCATTTATCTAGTATAAGCACAGATAAACGAGAGACACAAACCACAATTGCACAGATAGAAACATGATAACAAGTCAATACTCTTTTCCCCTCACTGCATTTATCAAAGCATTTGTCACATACTGTTTAAATATAAACGTGTGTGTGACCCTGCAGATGACCATGTCACTAACAAAACACGCTGAAGACAAAGTGAAGGAAAGGTGACGGGAACTTTGCAGATTCGATCAAAGCCTGATCTTTATGATAGTTATAACAGCATTAGAAGAAGAAAAAAACAGAGAAACGCCTACTGAGGTGAAAGCATGGGGCTTCACTGATAAATACCACTTCTTTACGTATTAAGACAAGCTCTGACATTTACAGAAGTCTGTTTTCAAAGTTTGTTCTGTATCTTGGTGTGATTTATTTTATAAAGCTTATGTTAATGTGCCAAATTGTGCTTTTCTAAATAAAGTAGGATATAAATAGTCCTGTGCTAATCAATGTTTATCATGCAGCGTGCCCCTTATTATGGAAGGGAAGTGTGTGTAGGGACTCAAGAACCAAATAACTCTTTCTGCTTCTCATCTAAAACAACAGCGCCACCCCAAGGCAGAAAAGGGACAGTGTTTAGACATTTTTGCAACCCAAGCGAAACATTGTGTGCAGAAAAGATGAACGGATGAGTAAATGCGCAGAAAGATGGAAACTAATTTGAATGAGAGAAAATTATTTATTTTTATTTAAAAGAGAATATCAAATTGAATCACTGATTGGAACACTTAACATGCAACACATAACTGCTCCTTATTTGTCATACACAGCATACCCTGAAACGAAATGAGGAAGCCTGCTAGACAAAACATAGTATTCTAGTTACGAAAATACCACACCCCACCGACAACTTGCCATTTACAATAAAGCGCTACTTCGACAAGGAAGACACTGCAGAGAAGCAGCGTGTCATGCCTGCTGTTAAAACCACCGTTTCTACTCTACTCTCAGAATACTTCACATGGGGCAGTGTCATTGAAACATCTCAGAGGACCTGTTATTGGTATGTATCATGAAGCCAAACGCATCTCTGTGCAATGTTGTGTTAGTCAAGTGCACTTAATTTGTTAAATGTTCCATTTTATCACTTTGAAAAAAAGAAAGAAAGAAAATATTGCTGACAATTTTGCTGCTTTTCCAACAACTTGTACTGAGAAGTGCTGGACATTCAAGTTAAGACTGGAGAGCATCATCATCTCCTCACCGATCAAATGTTAAACATACGGGAAACTGTCATCTCTGTGACCTACTTAATAAACTTCTTTAAATACTTTATGGTGTTTTACACAGGAGCATATCAGTTTCTCCAGTCGTCCCTGTAAAACATGCATTAAAATGTGTCTATTTTACAAGCCTTACACTTCAGTATTGCCCATTCTCTAAGCATACAACTCTGATATAAGACGACAAATTTAGTTAGACGGCTTGCAAAGCTCAGGTTAACCCTTTAAAGCCTGAACTGTAAAATAATTGATGGAAAATTCAAAGTTTTTGAAAATGGAGTGTTTGTTTGTTTTTTGTTTTTTTAAAAAGTTATTTAATATTAATTTGCATTTTTTAGTTTTAATTTGTATAATATTTGCTACATCTACATCTACGCACAGCAGAACTGTAACAAAATGTCAAAGATTAAGTAAGTTAAACTATGCAACTAAAGAAAGTACACGTTGGTTTGAGGAGTTCTGCACCCACAGACACCAGTGCACTGACAAGCCATGCACATAACACATAAGAGGTTAGCTTCTCACCCAGAAAAACACTAAAACAATAACATGCTAGCCTGCAGTGGGTCACTAAGATATCATGAACTGTCATGATCCCACACCTCTCACACTCGGACACATGCTGTGCCTGAGTTATGCTCTCAGCTGGAAACCTTAAACTCTTTTTAACCCTGTGCTGCAGCCTTCAGAGTGGTTGCGGGCTATACCCACCTGACGTTCAGTTGCACGTCAGGTTACGGTGTACAGTTAAGAAGGGTTTCTGGTCAAGTCTATATTTATAACATCTGACTATCTGAGCTGCTGATTTTGTAGCTTTGTCACTGAATAGACTCAAAGTTCCTCATAGACATTCTGAAGTAATGGTCAAGTCTGATTTTGCTAAAAAATAATTAAATAAAAATGTGACAATTCAGGAAGCCTTGATGTCAACAAGATTTAAAAGCCAACTTACTAACGTCTGTGTTCTAGATCAAATGGAGGGCACGTTTCCATCAGAAAACACTTCGTCCACCACCTGTAACTTCTCCCTCTGCCCGACTGCTGCAACGTTATATTTCCTTCCCTCCGTCTATGCGCTCCTCTTCCTCACCGCCCTCCCAGGGAATGCACTCGCTCTCTGGGTGTTCTTGCGGTGCATCTCCAACTTATCCCCCACCCACATGTATCTGTGCCACCTGAGTATATCCAATGTGTTGTTGTCCATCACCACGCCCTTCCTCGCAGCCTACTATGCCGAAGGCTTGGTCTGGGGTCTGAATGATGTCCTGTGTCAGCTCGTCCTGCACGGCATTACCCCGGTGCTCCACGTTAACATCTATATAAGCTTAATGATGCTCACTTGGGTGGCCCTCAGCCGCTTTGCGTCCCTAATCCAGAACACCCACGCCTCGAGGCCCAGCGCCTGCACCACCCTGCTGCCACACGCCTTCTTCGCTAGCCTCAAAAAAGTGTCCTTCGCCAACGTCGTGTGCATCACGGTGTGGCTAATGTCAGTGGGGAGCATAGTGCCAGTGACTGTTTATTACGCAGTGCACGAGGCTATGAACCAAACCACCAAAAATGACAAATCAGGACGTGGGAAGGTGTGCTACAGCCCTGCTGTGGAACTCGGAGGCAGTCTGTCTCAAACTGCCACTGTGGTCATTACAGCCTTCTTCTTTGTTTTGTACCTGCTGGTGCTGCTGTCCTACGTCACGGTGCTGAGGCATATCCGGCGCTCACGTCGCAACACACCAGTCACAACCTCCCAGAGACTGCTGAGGAGGGTGTTCCGAAACATTGTGGTCATCCAGGTGGCTATGAGTAATTTTATACTTTAAAATAATGTTATTGTTTAAATTTCCAATATACTTCACATATTTCATTAAATTAAAAAAAAAAAAACTCCACACAGGTCATTCTTTCTGTTTGCCTGCTGCCGCACCATATCTTCAAACCCATCTTCATTTCTCTGGTCCATGAAACTCCCCTTCAATGTTCCCCCACCAAAGAAACTTCCAGCTGCCACCCATTCTCCGGCATTATCGAGGTGACTGCTTTTCATATACAGATTGAAAGTACAAATGTCCCACAGTATGTGGAAATCTGACATGATGATGGTTTTCTTGTCCTTCTCTAGCTGAAAAACTGCCTGTTTCTTCTTGCTGCACTGAGAAGCTCAACTGACCCCATCATGTACTTTGTGCTGGACAGGACATTCCGCAATGAAACCCTCAACATTTTAAGGTGGAACCAGAAAAACTCCACAACACTGCAGATGTTCTGCTCAGGTACAGGAAGTGCCACTCCGAAGTCCGAACAGCAGAAAGAGGAAACCGCAGTTTCTGGCACTGTGCAGTGCAGTCATGCTAGTGTTATATAGTTAATAATACTCATCTTTTGACTGCATGGGAAAGCAAACGGACTAAAGTTTCTACTTACAAAGCAGCTCATGAAAAAACTCGAGCAGTGAGTAGGAGAAAGGTAGTGGCACAACACTTCCCTTTTCACAAGTCTGTATCATTACTACAACTCAAAGCAAGAAGTTCTTGGTCAGTTTGAGTAACACGGTCAGTTTCTACCAAATACACCAGGACTGTATTCACAGTCTAGATTTCTCTCTCGTGCAGCTTTAATCCAAGTTTTCATTTAAATGATGTCCTCGTTATGTCTGATAGTATCTTATTACTTCACAAAGAAATCAGCATATCAGACACGCGCTGACCAAACGTTAACAGTTAAAGCTCAATGTCCTCTGTGCAGTGATCTTTTAATATCAGCACTCGCCACTGGCCACACGTGCTCTGTCCTGCTGTGCTTCAGCCATTGCTCGGCTGTGAGACTGCAGGACTGCACTAAGATAACAGAGCACCAAGAACATGTCAGAACGTCAGTCCCTGAAAACTTAAAATGTAGAAATGTTTTTTAAAAAGTTAAGACTTTAAACATGCACACACGCATTAGTTGAACCTGAGGAATAAACTAAAGAAATTCCAAATTACCTGTGACAATGGAGCAGCCTAAAGTAGCTTTCAGTTTAAATATGGATACTTTGGTTGTGGTGTTACTGTTGTTTGTGAAGCTCTGTGAATTACACTCCTTTGCTTTGTGATATCCTTACTTGTGTTTATTTGAAATGAAGTCTCAGTATATTGAAGTTAAAGTACTCTGTGCCTCCAGCTGCTTTCTTTCTCTCCCTCTCTCTCTGTAACCACTTCTACACATTCGCACTCTGGTCCTATTTACATTTCGCTACTGTTGCAAAGTTATTTTTATATCATGCAATAAATATGTGTATGTTCTGCATCACTTTGTGCTCTGTCTGTTTCTATATACTCACAGCATTTTCTCAGTCCCATTCAACATACCACACAATCACACAGTGCTTATATTTATAGC